GGTATATGGTGGAACTGAGAATTAAGAAGGGGGTGATCACTTTGGGATTGTAGCATAAGTACCACAAGCCCTGAATAGTCGTAAGGAAATTGAGCAAATATGTAGGGAGATTGCAGTTAGCTGCAAGCATAATAGGGTTGTAATAGGAGGGATTTTAACTTCCCAAACATAGACTGAGATCGCCACAGTGTTACAGGCTTGGATGGAGAGGAATTTGTTTAGTATTTTCAAGAAAACTTAACCAATGTGTAGATGGCCCTTTTAGAGGGGGGGCAAAACTCAACATCCTATTGATAAGGCAGGGTAAATGACTGAGGTGTTAGTGAGCAGCACTTTGGGACCAGTGACCATAATTCAATTAGTTTTAAAGTCATTATTGAAAAAGATAGGCCACAAGTTAAAGTTCTAAATTGGAGCAAGGTCAGTTTTGATGGTATAGACAAGAATTTCCAAAAGTTGATGGGGGGGAGGCTGTTCCCAAATAAACAGATGTCTGGCAAGCGAGAGGCTTTCAAAAACAAGATTGAGGGTTCAGGGCCAGCATGTTCCTAGTAACGTGAAGGGCAAGGCTGGCAGGAGTACGGAACACTGGATGACTTAGAGATATTGAGGCTTTGGTCAAGAAAACAAGAGAGATATATGTGAGGTATAGACAGCTGGGATCAAGTGAATCCCATGAGGAGTATAGGGGATGTAGGAGTACACTTTAGAGGGAAATGAGGGCAAAGAGGGGACATGAGAGTTTTGACGGATAGTGTAGAGGAGAATCCAAAGAGATTATACAAGTAAATTAAAGGCAAAAGAGTAACTAGGGAGAGAAGGGAGAACTCTTAAGGCTCCTTTAATGGAGAGCCCCTTAAAGATCAACGAGGCTATCTGTGTTGGACCACAGGAGATGGGTGAATCCTAAACAAATACTTCTCAACAATATTTACCATTTGAGAAAGATATGGAAGCTAGGAAACTCTAGAAAATAAATAGTAATGTCTTGAAAAGAGTCCACAAAATCTTAAAATGCATAAAGGCAGATAAATCTGCCGGACCTAATCAGTTGTATCCCAGGGCATTGTGGGAAGCTGGGAAGAAATTGTGGGGACCCTAGCGGAGATGTTTATATCATCGACAGCCATGAATGAGGTGCTGGAACATGAGAAGGTGGCTAATGTTGTGCCATTATTTAAGACAGGCTACAAGGAAAAACCATGGAACCTAGCATCCGTGGTAGATAACTTGTTAGAGCGGATTCTGAGAGCTGTAAGATGGATATTATTAAACTTGAAAGGATGCAAAAAAGATTTACAGGGATGTTACTGTGACTGGAGGGTTTGAGTTAAAAAGAGACGCTGGATAGGCTGGGACATTTTTTCCCTGGAGCGTAGGAGGCTGAAGGCTGACCTTTTAAATAGGTCCATAAAATCATTTGGGGCATTGATCAGGTGAATTATCAAGATATTTTCCCCAGAGTGGAGGAGTCCAAAACTAGAGGGTATAGGTTTAAGGTGAGAGGGGAAGGGTTTAAAAGGGACCCGAGGGCAACTTTTTAAGAGGACGTAGTGCATATGGAAAGAGCTGCCAGAGGAAGTGGTAGAGGCGGGTACAATTAAATATTTAAGAGGCACTTGGAAAGGTACACAGGAAAAGTTTGGAGGGATAGTTCACTTTAGGAAATCTGGTCAGCATGGACGAGTTGGGTTGCAGGGCCTGTTTCTTTGCTGTATGACCCTATGACTCTGAGATAAAAACTTAAGAAATGCTACGATTTGGGGTAGATTTGAGTCCATGAATGGAAGCCTTGTTTATCATGTTTTGTAATGAAGTGCGTTTTGAAATAGCATTGCGTATTCTTTGAAAGCCAAGGCAGGTGAAGACTTTTTTTTTGTGTATTTAATTGTGGACTGAGATGAAAAATAATTTCTTTTAAAAAGAGAGCTGCAGGATTTCTACATGTTTTGAGATCGACTAACTTGATATTCATATTAAGCACCATTTACACAACTGCTTGTTCAAACAGATATTGAAGTTGAGTTTGCAGACCAAGCTGGATCTGAGGGATTGTGTAAAGGTGAAGCTTGATTAGCAGTAAAAAGCTGACTAGTGACCCATTATCTATGACAAAGGCCTTCAGCTGCCAACAAAGTGATCGGTTCATGGGTAACCGAGCAGCTTGCAGCTGTGACCAAAGTACAGAGAAGCTGTTCAGCCCACCAGCAACCCTAGGGCACATTCTCACTCTTCATGAAGCAAAGCAGTCAATTTCTTCAATTGCTGTAAGCTGTGACTTTTAATAAGTCAGAGACCTTTTGTAAGTGAACAGCCTGTGCTTCTTGAAAGCCAGTCCATGGAAAGAAGACTGAACAGCAGTGTTCTGACCAGTGCAAGAATTGTCTCAACAGATACTGTGAACAACGACTGCTGAGTTCCTTTCCTCTTAATCCCTTGGCATAAAGCGAATCTTTATTCCCTCTCCCCCATCTGTGGGTAAAGGGGAGTTTATAAGGAAATGTAGTTTTAATTAGTGGAGTTATATACTGATGATTCATAACTGTTTACCTATAGCTAGAGTCTGTAAGCCTATGTAAATAGTAGTTAGTGTTAAATACAGAAATTGGATTGTGTGCCTTGTCAGCCTGGCTATAGATTTTGGGTAAATTGGAAAATCTTTGCGTACTTTTGTGAAACATCTATAACTTTTGTGACATTTCGGAAATAGTGGCGCTTGATTTCTATTGCTCGAACCCAGTGAATCATGACAATAATTAACATCCGTTGCATGATCACAATTTGGCTACTGTTTTTGTTCCAGATTTTTACTGAATTCAAATTTCACCATTTGCTTTGTTTGGATTAGAACCTCTGACCCCAGAGCTTTGGCCTGGTGTTTAGGATTACTGCCCAGTGCCATAACTACGACAGCACTACCTTCCCTCAACCCTTTTGGGGCAGGTAAATCTTGAACGTTGACCTTCTGGCCTAGAGGTAGGCACATTGCCTCTACCTCTGCCTCTGCTCCACAAGGTCTTCTGCATGCATTTAATCACCCAAGTGCATAAATATCCAACCAAATTCAACAAAAAGTTGGGGGAAGTAAACGTTTGAGTACTCTTTCAGCAAAATCAAAAAAGCTGAAACATCCATTGCAGCATTTTACAGAAAATCAGACATTACTGTGTGTGACAACTTTCTTTCTCTGATTTATAATATAAAGACAGAGGGTGGTTTTGATCCGTCAACCTCCATGGTATGGGTTATCACTGCACCATTCAGCTGATGTATACATTTGATTAAGTATTTTGAACCAATCTGATCAGACTTTTAATGATATGCCTCCAAGGCAGGTGAGACTTGAATCTGAACAGGGACACTGCCACTGTGCTGAAGTGTTATGACATGTGTCTGGAGCAGGTGGGACTTGAACCCAGGCTTACTGGCTCAAAGCTAGGGACACCGCAACTGTGCCACAAGAGCCCAGTGATATGGTGGTAAAAGAGAAATAGATGAGTAAAAGATGTGTGAAAGCAAGAAAATGGGTCCACTCTGCTGAGGACAAAACCAACCTGACACAAACCAAGGGAGTCAGGAGAGGGAGAGGGAGTGGGGTGGGGGGTGGTGGGGAGGGGGTGTGGTATTTTGGGGTTGTATGGAAAAAGGAGTACAGAGGCTATACTTTGAAGCTGCGGAACTCAATATTGAGTCCTGGAGACTGTAAAGTCATCTGGTCTGTTTTTATCTTGCTAATGTAAAAAAGACTGCATTGAGCATGAAATCCAGTAGACTAGATTGCAAGAAGTCTGTGCATTCAAAAGATCATCTTTTGCCACCTTCAGTAGGATACCACCATCCAACACATCTTCCCCTCCAATCTACTGGCAGCATTCCCCAGGGACTGTTCCTTCCTTGAAATCCTGGTCCATTTTCTATCACTCCTTACATTTCCTTACTCCTCTGTGGAGCCTCCCCATTCGGTTGCCAGAGGTTGCTTGAACATCTTCGCCTTCCTCCCTGCTAACAGTCCCAAACACATTTTTCAGGTGATGCAGCATTTCAGTTGTACTACTTTCAATCTAGTCCACTGTATTTGGTGCTCTCAACGCAGTCTCCTTTACATTGGTGAGACCAAATGCAGACTGTGTGACTGCTTTTGTGAGTTGAAATGATCCCAACCTTCCAGTTACTTGCTATTTCAATAAACCACCTTCAGTATTCCAATGAAGCTCAACCCAAGCTGTGCTTAGGTACTTTAACAGCCTCTAGAAATCAATACGAGGTTCCACAACTTAGGGTATAACATCTGTACTCCATTCTTTCTTGCATTTCCCCCCCCCACCCTCCCCGGCCATGTCTAATTGGCTTTGCTCTCGGCAGAGCAGGCCCACTTTCTACTTTTCACCGCTAACGTTTACACTAGTTTGGCAACAAAGAGTGCCTCGAGGTGGTCGGTTTGGGGAATCAAAGGCACAAATGAGCATTTCCACAGCTAGCAGAACCTGCTAGTGTTACAGAGGTGGAAATATGTGATATTATTGATGGTGTAGATGCATGGTCAGAAGACTATCTTGGGTGGAACTTGAGTTTAAGAATAGTTATTGTCTGGCATTTGTCAGGGTTGGGGTTGAATTGGTGGCTATACTTTACAAATGTTTTTAATACATTTGGAACCTTGTTGGCTCAAATTGTCTGTCTGATAATTGCATTTCTGCAAACACCATACATTTCATTTCCTTGGTAGGAAGCCAGGATGTAATGAATTAGTATATAGTTCGAACTGAATGGGACATTCGGATGACCTGTTTAATTTGTTTCCTTGTCCATATAAAGCTGTTCATAAGTTGTTTTTTTTTTTAAATAGATATTTCAAGATGGATTTATTCTGGTGTTTTGGTAAAATCTGAACTGTTGACATGGACCATTTTTCTATTTTCTTTTAGAAATATCTGAAGATCATATTAGTCATGAATATAAATTTTCATTGAATATAAATTAATCTATTTTCCTTATTTTAGGGAGTAATTGAATCTGTGCGAGAGAACTTCGAGCTATTGCCTGATGATGAGCGACAGTGTGCAAAGTGCAAGACTACGTGTTTCTTGTCTGCAATCTCGTGCATTTGTAAATCCAATCAACTGGTTTGTCTGTACCATGCTAAAGAACTTTGTTCATGTCCACCACACAGATGTCATCTAAGGTAAATAATGCAAGGATATTCCTGTGTGGAATGAACCTTGCTGTTTGATTAAGCAGTACACAGACAGTCTTGGCAATCAATAAATTCTCCAGACTTTGTTATGAGATTTATAACCATGGACAATTAAGCTATTTCTCATTGAGATAAGCCAGGCGAATACCCTCATGAAGCCAGAAAAGTCTTATTAGTAACTGCAGGTGAAAGGTAGTTCCAAGGGTTTACCACCTTATTTCAGTACCTAATGGATGTTACGGTTTTGGTTTTTTTTTCTTCTTCCTCTTTGGTTCAGTTCTAAATACTTTTTGCTTCCATGTTCCAGGATGTGAGGGGGTTTAGGATGTCCCAAAGGTTTTTCAGTCATTCTTCCTGGTGCTAGGGTCAAGGATGTCTCCGAGCAGGTATAGGACATTCTGAAGGGCGAGGGCGAACAGCCAGTGGTCGTGGTACACATCGGTGTAAATGGCAAAGGTTAAAAAACAAAGGGATGAGGTCCTAAAGGCAGAATACAGGGAGCTAGGAAGAAAGTTAAGAAATCGGACCTCCAAAGGTAGTGATCTCAGGATTACTACCAGTCCCACGTGCTAGTCAGAGGAGAAATGACAGGATATACCGGATGGCTGCAAAGATGGTGTCGGCATAGGGTTTCAGATTCCTGGGGCATTGGGACTGGTTCTGGGGGAAGTGGAACCTATACAAGTCGGACAGGTTACACCTGGGCACGACATAGGACTGATGTCCTGGGCTAGTGTTTGCTAGAGTAGTTGGAGAGGGTTTAAACTAATATGCTGGGAGATGGGAACCTATGTAAAGAGTCAGAGAAGAAGGCAGCAAGGACTAAAACAAAAACTAGAAAAGGGAGTGAGAGAACAGGTAGGATGAGAAACCAAGGGCAAGATTCAAACAGGGCTATTCGGAAAAATGAGGTGGCAAGCACTTTCAAAAGGACAAGTTTGAAGACTTTGTGCCTTAACGCATGGAGCATCTGCAATAAAGTGGATGAACTAATTGTGCCCATAGATGTAAACGGATATGATATAATTAGGATTATGGAGACATGGCTGCAAAGTGACCGGGGATGGGAACTGAATGTTCCAGGGTATTAAGTATTTAGGAATGGCCGGCAAAAAGGAAAAGGTGGCGGAGCAACATAGCTGGTTAAAGAGGAAATTAACACAATAGTGAGAAAGGAAACTAGCTCTGACAATGTGGAGTCTGAATGGGTAGAGTTGAGAAATACCAAGGGGGAGAAAACGTTAGTGGGTGTCACATTTCGACCCCCAAACTGCAGTGGTGATGTCTAGAATGGCATTAAACAGGAAATTAGAGATGCATGTGATAAGGGAATATCTGTGATAATGAGTGATTTTAATCTGCACATAGATTGGGCAAATCAAATTAGCCACAATGCTGTAGAGGAGGAATTCCCGGAGTGTATACGGGTTGGTTTTCTTGACCAACGTGGAGGAACCAACTAGAGAGCAGGCCATCTTGGACTAGGTGCTGTTGAATGAGCAGGGAACGACTGCCACTTTAACTGTCTGAGACCCCTTGGGTAAGAGTGACTGTAACATGATAGAATTTTTTTTTTATCAAGGTGGAGAGTGAGGTTGTTGATTCGGAGACTAGGGTGCTGAACCTAAATAAAGCAAGCTATGAGGACATGAGGCGTGAGTTGGCCTTGATAGATTGGGGAAAGTTGCTTAAAGGAATGATAGTGGATAGGCAATGGCAAACATTCAAGGAATGCATGGGGGAACTGCAATAACTGTTTATTCCAGTCTGTCGCAAAAGCAAAATGGGTAAGGGGGCCAATCCATGGCTTACAAAGGAAATAAAAGAGAGTATCCAATCCAAGGAAGAAGCATACAGATTGGCAAAGAAAAGTAATAAATCTGAAGATTGGGAGCAGTTTAGAATTCAGCAACGAGGGACCAAGGGATTGATCAAGAAGGGGAAAATAAGAGTACAAAAGTAAGCTTGAAGGGAAAATAAAGATTGGTGCTCAGAGTTTCTATAGGTACGTGAAGAGCAAGAGATTGGTAAAGACAAATGTAGTTCCCCTACAGACAGAAACAGGGAGGAATGCATAATAGGGGACAAAGAAATGGCTGAGGAACTGAATACATACTTTAGTCCTGTCTTTTTGTAAAGAGGGCACAAATCAGATACCAGAATTATTGGAGGATGCAGGATTTAGTGAGAGGGAAGAACTGAGGGAGATCAATATTAGTAGAGAAATGGTGCTGGGAAAGTTGTCGGGATTAAAGGCCAATAAATCCCCAGGGCCTGATAACTACTATGGGATGTAGATTAAAAGTGGCTGTAGAAATAGTGGATGTATTGGTGCAGTCCATGCAGGTTGGAGGGTGGCTAATATCACTCCAATATTCAAAAAGGGACGTGGAGAGAAAACAGAATTATAGACCGGTGAGCCTAATATCGGTAGTGGAGCAAATTCTCAAATTCATTATTGAGGATTTTATAGCAGAGCATTTAGAAAGCAGTGGCAAGATCAGACAGAGTCAGCATGGATTTATGAAGGAGAAATCATGCTTGAAAAATCTGCTGGAATTCAATGAACATGTAACTGGTAGAGTTGACAAGGGGAAGCCAGTCGATGTAGTATATTTGGACTTTCAGAAAGCGTTTGACAAAATCCCACATGAGATTAATGTGCAAGATTAAAGCACATAGGATTGGGGGATGTGTATTGAGATAGATAGGAAACTGGTTGGCAGAGAGGAAACAAAGAGGAGGAATTAATGGGTCCTTTTCAAATTGGCAGGCAGTAACTAGTGTGGGGTGCCACAAGGACTGGTGCTGGGATGCCAGCTATTCACAATATATATTAATGATTTGGATGAGGGAACAAAATGTAACCTCCATGTTTGCACGTGATACCAAGTTGGGTGGGAGCGTGAACTGTGACGAGGATGCAGAGATCCTTAAGCATGATCTGGACAGGTTGGGTGAGTGGGCAAATCAATGGCAGATGCAGTATAATTTGGATAATTGTGAGGTTATTCACTTTGGAAGCAAAAACAAGAAGGCAGATTACTACCTGAATGGCGGTAAATTAGGAGAGGGGAGTGTGCAGTGGGACCTGGGTGTCCTTGTCCACCAGTCTCTGAAGGTAAGTGTGCAGGTGCAGCAGGCAGTGTTGTTGCAGTTGTACAGGACCTTGGTGAGACCATACCTGGAATATTGTGCGCAATTTTGGTATCCGTTTTTGAGGAAGGATGCTCTTGCTCTTGAGGGAGTGCAATGAAGGTTTACCAGGCTGATTCCAGGGATAGCGGGTCAGATGTGTGAGGAGAGATTGACTAGGTTGGGATTGTTTCCTCGCTTGTATTCAGACAAATGAGGGGGGTATCACATAGAGAGCAAAATTCTCGCAGGACTAGACAGGGTAGATGCAAGGAGGATGTTCTCAATGGTGGATGTGTCCAGATTCAGAGGATTTGGGGTAGACAGTTTAGGACGGAAATGATGAGACATTTCTTCACCCAAAGAGTGATGAGCCTGTGGAATTCATTACCACAGGAAGTAGTTGATGCCAAAACATTGAATGTATTCAAGAGGCGACTAGATGTAGCACTTGGGACGAATGAGATCAAAGGTTACGGGGAGAAAGCAGGATTAGGCTATTGAGTTGGACGATCAACCGTGATTGTGAAGAATGGTGGAGCAGGCTTGAAGGGCCGAATGGCCGCCTCCTGCTCCTATCTTCTATGTTTCTATAAAACGTGTAGTAATTCCAGATAGTAGAACAAAACTCTCCATTATTTTAGTCAGTGGTGCTACCTCTTGTCTTCAGAGTATTCTTCTAGACTTTGTAAAGTTTTTTTTTCAAGATTGTGTGCCAGATATATGTATTGAATGATGATCTAAGAAACTGCATCCTTTTTACTTTGGACTAGGGGCTGAAAATGAGAAAATTGGACATTCCTTGTATTCTCTCCATTTTAAATTTGCAGCTTTGGTAAAACGAGTGAATCTGACTGGTGCTAACGAAACAATGTTTTTTTTTGGATCATTGAGTCCAGACAATGTGGCATCATTTCTTATGGAAAGCACAGCATAGCAACAAGCTTCTGATTAGTCACATTGTAGTCTTAACATATACTTTGGAAGGGGTGTAAATAGAAGCCAGGAGACTACTTAAGTTAGCAGCATTGCTCTTTCTCTCACCTGTTTCTCTGTAGAGTTGTTCTCTGCAATTTTTCATTAGAACAGCAGAAAAATTATTTGAAAACAATGAGAAAAATATTCTAAAACCCAAAGACAATGAGAGACCCAGCTGCTGCTGACTTACAAACTGATATCACTGTGCAGATAACATTTGAGCATCATTGAAGAATTGAGTATTGTGAAACCAACCCAGATTTTGGACTGGTGATACATAATTGTGATCTTGTGATCTTCTGACCTTTCTCCTCCATTCATAATTGTGTTTTGTCTGTTTTTGCTTTGTGTATGTGTCAGAGTTTTAAAAAGGATGGATAGATTCAAGATGAATAAGAAATTATAAATCCTGTTTTCTTACTATGCTTGTTAAAGATGACTAGTGCAATAGATGGTGTATTTTTTAAACTGTTGCTGAAGAAACCTGGTATGGTTTGCATTTATCCTGGGTAGCAGTAATTCAGAGGCAAGTTAGGATTCGTGATAGTTACATTGAATTTTAACATCTGTCACGACTTTAGAAATAGGAACATTTGAGATGTTTGATTTCCATCGCACTGTCGTAGTGCGATGTGACAACTGTAGCAGTGTGCCAATGTAAAACTTGACTACCTTTTAAAATGTGTAACAAAAAATCTTTTGGAGTCCCTATACTATACTAGTCGTATACCATCCTGCTGAAATGAGGCTAGCAAACATTGCAGAGGCGATTTTACTAGCTTGGGTACATTAGTAAAAGGGAATAATAAAAGGATTTGCTGTACGGCGAGGTAGTTGGAGTCAGCTAACTTGTAGGATGGGAATGCTTAGCTTTAATTCTTTTGAGCGTGACTTGACAGCCGGAACCATGAACTTTCACACTTTGACACTGGAAAATGGGTACAGCAGATTGAAAACTGGTATCATCACTGAAAGCAGCAACTCACTGATCCTTGAAACCTTCATATAAGGCTTTGTGGCAGAACCTGCCTTTGCATACTTGTTTCTTCAGCCATCAGCAAATTATCACTAATTTGCTGCAAATCTATTATCTTGTGTAGATGAGAGAATGCTGCTGACTTGCAAATAATTCTCCTGCGTAGCAGTTGTTACCAGCTTAGCAATTCAAAATGATAACATGACCAAATTTACATAAAATTCACTAACTCGAGTTTTTTGAAGAGGTGACAAAGGAGATTGATGAAGGCGGAGCAGTGCATGTTGTCTCTATAATGGTGTTTGAGGTTCCACACAGTAGACTGGTTAGCAAGGTGTGGGGGCTAGCTAATTGGATACAAGATTGGCTTGAAGGTAGGAGATGGAGGGTTGTTATTCAGGCTGGAGTCCCGTGACCAGTGGTGTGCTGCAAGCATCGGTGCTAGGTCCACTACTTTTTGTCATTTTATATAAATGATCTGAATGTGGATATGAGATATGTTCAGTAAGTTTGCAGATGATATCAACCTTGGTGTAGTGGACAGTGAAGAAGGTTCTCATTGTATAACAAAACCTTGCGTGGAAAGTTCTTTACGCAGAGGGTGGTGGGTGCCTGGAACGTGTTGCCAGCAGAGGTGAGAGAGGCAGCCATGATAGCGTTATTTAAGATGTATCTAGACAGATACATGAATGGGCAGGGAGCAGAGGGATACAGATCCTTGGAAAATAGGCGACAGGTTTAGATAGAGGATCTAGATCGGCGCAGGCTTGGAGGACCGAAGGGGCTGTTCCTGTGCTGTAATTTTCTTCGTTCTTCATTCTTTGTCCTTTGTCCTTTGTTCTTGATTGAATGGGCCAATGGGCTGAGGAGTGACAGATAGTTTAACTTAGATAAATATGAGCTGTTGCATTTTGATAAGGCAAATCAGGGCAGGACTTGTATCATAGGGTCGTGGGGAGTGTTGCCGAACAAAAAGATCCTTGAAAGTGGAGTCGTAGGTTGATAGGGTGAATGAAGCGTTTGGTACACTTCCCTTCAATGGTCAGTGTATTGAGTATACGAATTGGGATGTCATGTTGTTGTTGTACAGGACATTGATAGCCATTGGTGAGGCCACTTTTGGAATACTGCATTCGTTTCTGGTCTTCCTGCATAGGAAAGATGTTGTGAAATGAGAAAGGGTTCAGAAAAGATTTACGAGGCTGTTGCTAAGATTGGAGGATTGGAGCTATAGGCAGAAGATGAGAAATTCTAGGCCAGTTAGCTTGACCTCAGATTTTAGAGTCTTTAGAGGATAAGATTGCACAGTCCGTGGAAGTAGATGGCAAAATAGGGGTGTGTCAGTATGACTTCGTCGGGTTAGGTCATACCTGACTAATGTGTTAAGAATTTTATGAGGCAGTAATGAGCAATTTAGATAAAGGAGAGCCAGTGCATGTGATCTATTTGGATTTCACGCAGGCCTTCAACAAGGTACCGCTGAGGAGACTGCTAAATAACATAACAGCCCTTGTTGTTAGGGGTAAGGTACTGGCATGGATAGAGTATGGCTGACAGTGCAGAAGGCGGAGAATGGGGATAAAGGGGTCTTTTTCAGAATGCTAGTTGGTGACTATTGGAGGTCCACAGGGGTTCCTAACCTATTTGCAGGTGTTGAGACCACAACTATTTACATTATACATTAACATCTGGATGAAGGAACCGGGGGCATTGTTGCTAAGTTTGCAGATGACACACAGATCAGTGGAAAGGCAGGTAGCATTCAGGAGGCTGGGAGGCTGCAGGAGGACTTGGACAGGCAAGGAGAGTGGGTAAAATAGTGGCATCTGGGATACATATGGGAAAGTGAGAGCTTATGCGCTTTGGTCGGAAGAATAGTGGTGTAGACTATGTTTTAAATGAGGAAAGGCAACAGAAGTCTGTGATTTTGCAATAGGGTTAGGATTTCTGAATCCGAGGAGTCCTAGTTCAGGATGATTAACTTGGGTTCAGCTGGCAGTTGGGAAGGCAAGTGCAATGTTAGCATTCATTTTGAGAGGACTAAAGTGCAAGAACAGGGATGCACCGCTGAGGGTGTATAAGGGTCTGATATCAGACTGCATTTGGAATGTTGAGAGCAGTTGGGCAGTTGAGCATATGAAGAAGGACGTGCTGTCGTTGTAGGGGGGTCCAGAAGAGGCTTACAAGGATGTTTCCAGGGATGAAGGGCTTGTATGAAGAGCAGTTGAGGACTCTGGGTCTGTATTTGATGGAGTTTAGAAGGATGGAGGTGGGTGGGATCTGATTTAAACTTACAGCATGCTGTGAGGCCTGGATGGAGTCAATGTGGAAGTGATGTTTCTAGTAGGACAGACCAGAACCCAAGGCCACAGCTTGAGTGTGAAGGAACAACCTTTTGGAACGGAGACGAGGAGGAATCTCTGAAACCAGAGGGTGGTGAATCTATGGAACTCGTGGCCTCAATCTTCCGTGGCAAAGTCATCCGAGTGTATTTAAGATAGAAATAGGTTCTTGCTTAGTAAGGGGATCAGAGGTTACAGGGAAGGCAACAGAATAGGGTTGAGAAACATCAGCTATGATCGAATGGCCGAGCAAACTCAGAGGCCGAATGACCTAATTCTGCTCCTTTACCTTATGGTCTCACAACAATGTATCTATATTACAGAAACATAGCTACTGAAAAATATCTGTGCAATTATCTGGGGTAATTTCTGAACACGAGTTCTGTGTACATTTTGAAGTATTTTCACTTCCTTTCATGTTCATAGTATGTTTGACTAGTTCAACCTATCTCTTCTGATTCAGGTATCGCTATGCTTTGGATGATCTCTATCCGATTCTAAGTGCATTGAAATTGCATGTAGCAACGTATGATGAATGGTCTTCCAAAGTGACTGACGCCCTGGAAGCGAAAGATAATGAAAAGAAGAGTAAGCATAGAAATTCTTTATGGATTATTCCATTGGCACAGTGCTTTGTGGTGTACAGGCAAAATGTTAAATGCAAAATTTGCCATCTTAACAATTGGGATGAAGCAGCCAAGTGGAATATAAGCTATTTCCAAGCAGAGGTGGAAACGCTCAAATGAATGGTGCTTAAGATTGCACGAAGAGTAAATACTGGTTGGGCAAGATGCTTTTCAGTTACATTGCAGGATTTGGGAAAGGATGAGAAGAAAAGTATTATTGTCGTGCAAGGGTAAATGGGATGAAAAATCGTTAGAATCATAAAATGAATACAGCACAGAATGAGACCATGCAGCCTATCATGTCTCTGCTGGTCTTCAGAAGGAGTATTTCACATAGCCTTCTACCCCTGCATTTACGGTGTAGCCTGTTTTTTTTTTCAGCTAATGATCTGGTTAATTTTCAACAAAGCCTCACTTGGCCTGTCTCCTCTACAGACTTAGGCAGTGCATTCCTAAATACCTGTAGTGTGAAAAAGTTTTCTTCCCTGCTGCCATCGCTTATTTTGCCAATTACCTTAAATCCTGTGCCCTCTTGTTCTCTATTCTTCCACCAATGGAACTGCATTGTCGACCCTTCATGGTTTTGAATATTCTTCTCTGAACCGCTTTCTGCAAAACATGGAAGGTTTTAATTTTCTCCAGTATTCCTACATAATTGAAATGATTCATCCCTGGGGGTGCTAGCTGGGTGCAGTGCGCAGGACTCGGTGTGATGCTTCTTTTAAAAGCATGCTTTTTTTTTGTTTTTATCTTGTCTTTGTGGAGCTGTGCATTCGTTTAGCCTATTTTGTGGTAGCTCTGTTTTGTCGAAATAAATCGTGATTGTACTTGAACTCGCCATCCATGCATAATCATCTGTTGTTCATTATAATGTGGCTGTGCAGCCTGATTGCAGATCTCTATCACTTTCTATCATATGGGAAAGGATTAAATGTTTGATACTTGTTGTGACTGCCCTGTCTTTATAACTTGTTTGTTGCCTTTTGTTGTTCGAAGAAGACAAAATCACTACTTAGAATGCTCACAAAATGTGACTTGTGTATTTTCCTAGGTTCACCTTCAAGAACTCCCGACGTAGAATTTTCAACTACAGGCTAGTTCAGCCTAGTTTTAAAAAAAAGAACTGCTTAACTCTGGCAATTATCTGTCTATCACCTGAAAGTGATTGTCTTGAATAGCTATTGCTCAGAACAGAAAGCTGGGTTAGCATTGGATCTTGGGAGTGAGTCATTAATTATATATAGAACTATACTGAGTTTGTAACCTACACAGTATAAGGGAATGCAAAGGGAAGAGACTAAGTCTGAGTGTGATGTCGACCAGTTGCAAAGTTAGGAATTTTGTGCAGTGACGAAAGAAGTGTCCCTTTTTTTTTCCTGAGTCTTCAATCTCCATAGCTATTGAGTCTCATTCTTCTGTCTCCAAGCCAAAAGAGTACAAACTTTTATTAGAGATAGTAGGAACTGCAGATGCTGGAGAATCTGAGATAACAAGGTGTAGAGCTGGATGAACATGGCAGGCCAAGCAGCATCATAGGAGCAGGAAGGCTGATGTTTCGTGCCTAGACCCTTCATCTAGGCCCGAAATGTCAGCCTTCCTGCTCCTATGACGCTGCTTGGCCTGCTGTGTTCATCCAGCTCTACACCTTGTTATCTCAAACTTTTTTATTAGTTTAGCCCTGCAAGTTGTTAATTAGTTGACTAATTAAATTATATTAGACAGATATGGTAGAGATTGTTGTTGGTATGTCTGTTGTATATTGAAATCTGAGGAATCCAGTAGCATCCTGGGCAGTCCTATCTGCAGTAAATGTCTGTAGTTTGCTGAGCTGGATTCTGAACTGCAGACATTCTGGGCATCAGGAAGGGGCACAGTTGAATCTGCTTTGTTCCAGGAGACAGTCACCCCTCCCAGATTAGCCAGGAATTGAGTTGTTTGGAGACACTCGAATGACTAAGCCAGGCACTTATGAGAAATCGACATGTAGTGATGGAGGAGATTCATCTCTGACTTTGTCCACCAGATATGTGTTGGCTCCTCTCTGTGCAGTGAGGAGTAGGTCTACAGGATTACAAATTTGAGAAGTAACCATGGTGCAATTTTCAATTCATGTGGGGCAGTGTGTGATAGTGAAAGCAGATAGTTAAGCCAGGGGAATAGGTACCATTCTCTGCATACTTGAAAACTCTGCCCTGTGCCAAAGTTGTGGAATATCTTCCAGGAGAGGAATTTGGTGAGGGCGTTCCACATGGGAGCCAACAATTTGCTAATATTTTGATAAGTTAGGGTCCAATTAGAATGAAACATCAAAGATAATTATCTGGATTTTTTTTTGGTGAGCCATACACTAATTGGCAAGATGTCAGCACGTTAATGGTATTTAAAGTAAAGTGCAAAAAGTACTTTGGCAAGAAAAGATTCTGATTCATGGAGCACTGGCATCAGTACTCTGGGAGGAGTGAGCTATTAGTTTAGGTTGGATTCTGTTAGGTTGGGCTCCAACTAAAACTGGCTGACACTAGTGTCGTGGCGAATTATATGATGGGCTGTAGAATATTGGGGCAGGGGAGAGGCTTCAGGTGAAGGGAGGTTTAGAAGTTCAGAGTAAAAAATCAAGGCAATGACATAGTGTAGTGATGTGGATAAAGACCAGCAGAATGTAATAGGAAGGGTCAGAGTGTGCCTCTGTGAATAAGGTTAGTGCAGGAATAGCAAATTAAAGGCTCTCTATCTGAAAGCACGTAGCACATAGCATTCTCAAAAAGGTGTAGAACAAGTGACACAAATAGAAGTCGTGGTTTAAATTTAGTCTTCGTGACAAAGATAAGGTTGCAAAGTGATGAAGGTTGGGGAGTAAGTATAGGTGGGTGCACAATATTTCAGGAAAACAATGTCACTTGTTCCTTTTTTTAAAAACACTTCACACTAATGAAAGAAAATACACAACTTCTTAAAAATGCAAAACCTACAGCATTGATAAAATTAAGATTGTGTGTAAAATAAAAAGGGTTTTAGTGTGCTGACCTAAAGGCCTGTTGAGACTGAGACTGTTGCAAAAGGATAGAGTTTTATTGCTTGTTGCTGCTTATGCATTGTGTGCCAAAGTTTGTGATACTTCAAGTTGAAAAATAATTTGTAACTTCAGATCCTTTTGAAATTTCTGAACTAGTCTTTACATTTGAGCATTTTTTGAGTACAGTGCCTGTGAATTGTTTTTATATAACTTTAATATTAATGATCAACAATCACTGAGCCTTTTCTCAAAGTAGGGAAAATTGTGATTTCTAATTTTCAAAACACCGTTTTTTTAAAATAATCTTTTTATTATTAATTTGACTTTATCATTTCCGTCATATCAGGCCTCTCTGATTTCAAATCAATGGTAGAGGAAGCAGAGAAGAAAAAGTTTCCAGAAAATGATTTGTTGAAACAGCTGAGGGAAGCTATTGTAGAAGCAGAAAAGTGTGCCTCTGTTGCCCAGCAACTACTTAATAACAAACGACAAACCAGGTGCGTAAAATTGAATATTTTACTTGCATATTAAGGGGTGAGTAGTCCTGAGTGGGAATTGTTTTCACTTCCAGCTCATTTTCTTGTTTTCATGTTAATGTGAGCAAAGTCTATTTGGAGGAAGCATCCTATTCAATTCTGTTGCCTGCTGTCAGTAGTCTGTCCTTCCAGGGACATGCATACTCTAGGCCAAATGCACTATCCTTTTATAGAGAAGTGGTGCCTTAATTATCAAAAGCATCTTTGTGTTGCTTTCCATTTTTGTTCACTGATATCTGAATTGCACGATCCGTTGGCTGCTAGTTTTTGCACTGCATTTGTATGTTAAGAATTGATATGAGAACACCCAAATTATTTTATAAGAAACTTGTGTTATCCCACCATGAATTGATTCAGCCTAAATTTGAAATAATGGAGCATTGCACCTTTAAGAGAGTGATAATTGTTGATGGACATTTATCAGTGGGCATGTTGTGGTTTTAAGTATTTTCTAGCACTAAACAACCTCTGCAGATTACCAGATGCAGAAGTCTCAAAATAGCGACACTTCCGTCTGAAAGATGACTTGTCATGATAACCAACACACCTTAATCAAGTCAGATTTTAATTGTTTCAGAGCTGTCTCTTAACACCCACACACATTTATTCACCCCAATAAAAAACGTTAGGGATTTGTGTTTTTATTTGAATAAGAATAATTTACAGTTTTTCACTGTTCTTAAATATTCAATTAAGACTAACTCAAGCCCCAGTGTTAAATACTCTGTGTTCTACCTTATTCTGCCTGAACTCCCACTCACCCATCTTTTGACCTGTGTCTGTTCCCAATGTCTTCTGCAAAACCTGAAATCTAAGATGATGCTTGCTTTTAGATTTCTTCATGGCAGCTGTCTCTAATTTCCAACAGCCCTGGAACTCACCATCTACTTTCTTCGTGTTCTTACATCTTGTAAATTCCATTCCTCCTCCTCTTTCGGTTCGCTGTAAGAGTTTGTCTTTGGCCATTTTTAATCCCTCCCTAAACTCCTTTATATTTCTAGTGGTCTTGAAAATCCTCCTCAAATCCACCTGATTATGTTTTGAGTGTTGGAATTTATTTTTATTGTTTTAATTCTCCAGCATTTCAAACATTCCATTGAGTGAGGCTGTGGAGAATCGGGGTTTTTGCATTTTCTGCACAACTTAAAATGTTTTAGTTCCATTTGTCCATTTTTTGTTTCCATGCTTCGAACTTATTGTGATGCTGATTACGTCCTGGATCCCAACAGTTTCCACTTTGGGGTTCCATAAGAAATGACTGTTACTCAATCACTAACTTTTTCTTTAGATCTGGTCTAGTTCTCTTCACTTCTGAATACTTTGCTTTGTGCCCCAGGCTTCCAAATAGCAGTTAGTTCAGGCCGTTGGCGGGGATAGAAATCAGGAAATGTTCTGAAAGAGTGGCGTGAAAAGCTTTCAAATGAATGCAGTAATTAGGAGCAAACATATTGTAACATGGTAGCTTGTTATAACATACCTAGTCATTTTTAATGCTGTATCTTTAGCAGAAAAAATTACTTTGAAAAAATCAGTTCTTGTAAGTTACTGCTCTGATAAAATATTTTAATATAAAAAGATCATACTTTCATGGGATAAAATTACTATACGTCTATTGTTCCTTAAGTTAAACAATTAGAAATGTATTCTTTGTGCAGTAATTGCTCTGGGAGATTAGATGTTATGATGTTTCAGATATCGTTCTGGTGGTGGGAAATCCCAAAACCGACTGACTGCTGCAGAGCTTCAAGCATTTGTCAAACAACTGTATGCTCTACCCTGCGTCATTGATCAGGCTCCTTTACTGAAGGTGTGTGTAGCTTTTGGAGTTCTTGAATATGTAGTAAAAAAATGCAAAGTTCATATTTTGTAGCTCGTATGATAGTTTATATAACTTTTGGGTATTAAATTACTACCTATGCAATTGTAATGGAAGTTCTGTTTTAAAAAAAACTTTTCATTTTATGCTGTGATTTTATTAACTGAAGTAGCACAAATGTTGTGTCTCTCTCTGCACAGGACCTTTTACATTCTGTAGAAGATTTTCAGCAGCGCTCTGAGAAGGCTGTTTCTGATGAAAGACCCAATACTTCTGAGCTACAGCAACTAATGGATCTCAGTTTTGGATTTGACATAGAATTACCACAGCTGCAGCATCTTCGAGAACGTTTAGAGCAAGCACGGTGGCTAGATGAAGTGCAGTTGGCTCATGCTACGTCTGATTCATTCAGTTTGGATGAAATGAGACGGCTGATTGACTCTGGTGTAGGTTTGGTGCCTCATCAAGCTGTAGAGAGGGCCATGGCTCAGCTGCAGGAACTCCTCACGGTCTCTGAACAGTTGGAAGAGAAAGCTCACAATTTGCTGAAGACCAGGTCAGTGGTTATTACTGCATCATACTTGGCACATGCACATTTATATACGCAAAGTCCAAGGTTAAGCAGATGCCTCCATCCTGTAAAGAATCCACAATTTGTAGCGAATTTACTGCAACAAAGTTGGCTGAGTATTTTATCCTTTTGTGAACTGTGTAGCTTGCAAAATAGTATCATAGAATCCCTACAGTGTGGAAATAGGCCCTTTGGCCCAACAAGACCACATTGATCCTTGGAGCATCCCACCCAGACCCATCCCCTTATAACCCACACACCCCTGAGCACTACGGGCAATTTAGCATGGCCAATCCACCTAGCCTGCACATCTTTGGACTGTGGGAGGAAACTGGAACACCCGGAGGAAACCCACGCAGACACGGGGAGAAGGTGCAACTCCGCACAGACAGTTGCCCGAGGCTGGAATCGAACCAGAGTCCCTGGCGCTGTGAGGCTACGGTGCTAACCACTGAGCCACCATGCTGCCCTCAATTTACTTTACTTTACAAACGTTTTCTCTTGTATTTTAAACTAATTTCTAGAATACATTTGTCTAAGTCTTCGATACAAAGAATTATCCAGTTGCTAACTGTCCAGTGACAGATTTGCTTCAACAAGTTTGAAAGCCTATAAATAGATCAGTAATTTGATATAATGCCAATCTTTTTGTGATTGCTGGCTGCATAAGGAAATTAGTTACCTAGGACAATTAACCCAGTTTCAGCATATTTACAACTGCCGTTTGCTGATTAATTTCTCAGGGCAATGCCTTGACCAATCGGAGTCAACAAGCCTGGTTTAAAATTTAAACAAGGTATGGCTGTTAACTGAAATTCTGGAAATCACAGTGGGTCAGGCAGCATCTGTGGAGAGAAATCAAACTAACGTTTCGATTCCAGATGACTCTTCATCACTGAAGAGTCATCGAGATTTGAAATGTTAGCTTGCTGTCCACAGATGTTGCCAGACTCTCTCATTTCCAGCATTTTTTTGTTTTCAGTATAGATTTGAGCATCTGCAGTAATTTGCTCCTACATGGCTGTTAACTGGTCCAATTAGGTTCAGTAAAGCAGAATTATTTATGTGTACCAAGTTCTGTGTAATTGTCTGACAATGTAAAGCATATCGTACTGTTGTGCCACAATTTAATGGTATTCAAGCCCTGCTATTCCTGGAGTCATCACAAAAGTTAAAAATTATATACAAAGTACATAAAATTCCACAATTCACCTATCTTTTATACCCAGATTTCTGTACTTAAATAAATAGATTTTGGTGAAAGTAAACAATTATGAACCATTGATCTGTGGCATGGGGGCAACACGGTGACTCAGTGGTTGGCGCCAGGGACTCGGGTTCAATTCCACCCTTAGGCACCTGTCTGTGTGGGTTTCCTCTGGATGCACTGGTTTCCTCCCACAGTTCAGAGATGTGCAGGTTAGGTGGATTGGCCATGCTAAATTGCCCATCGTGCCTAGGGATTTGTAGGTTGGGTGGATTAGTCATGGGAAATGCAGTGTTACAGGGACATGAAAAGGAGTTTGGGTCTGGGACTGAATGGCCTGCTTCCAAACTGGAGGGATTCTGTGATCTATTCTATGAGCTGTAACTCTCCTAGTTAAAACTCTAACCCCATATAAAATTGCTGTACATGTGCATACAAACAAACCCCAAAAAAATCTCATGGGTAGAGGGAAAGGCTAGGAAGATAGTTCAATGGTCCCTGTCCGCAGGGTTCACTGAGCTGCTTGTCAGGACTTAGTATTCCTTTCTCCTCCTCCAGGTATTTGCAGTTGCTTGCAGGAGGCACAAAGCAACTGGTTCACATTTATGAAGTCTGAGTTCTTGGTTAAGAGTCACCAATTACAGCAACTGATGAGGGAAAATACACTGAGATAACAAGATGTAGAGCTGGATGAACACAGCAGACCAAGCAGCATCAGAGGAGCAGGAAGGCTGATGTTTCTGGCCTAGACCCTTCTTCAGAAAATTTTCAAGGAAAATACACTGGCTTCCTTTTCTGTACAGAAAAGACAGCTGCTTCCTTTCAAGAGATCTGATGGCTTCTGACACCTATAAACTGTTCAGCTACTTGAGGATCAATGACATAATTGTTGTCCAACAACCAATTGCCCAGATAATCAGCTTTTCTTTTGCAGACTGAATATCAATTTGTGCACAGTCCTTGACTGCAGTTTAACTGTAACTGAATCCCCACTCCACCTCAAGATGATGTATTGCCTCCCTGGTGCCAGGGTTAGGGATGTCATTGGGCAACTGTAAGACATCCTTTTTCTGGGGGGTGTCGGTTAACCAGAAATTGTGGTCCGCATTTATACCAGTCACATAGGTAAGAAGAAGGATGGTGTCCTGTAGGCAAATTTCATTGAGTTCAGAGGAAAACTTAGAAAGGAGAACCAATAACTCAGGATTACTCCTAGTGTCATGTGTTAGTGAGCATAAGAACAGGAAGATTGATCAATTGAATATGTGGTTGGAGAACTGGTGGAGGAGTGAGGGCAAGAGATTTGAGGAACTGGGACTGTTCTGGGGCAGTTGGGACCTCTGCAAGTATGGAGTTACATGTTAATGGGACTGGAACTAATATTCTTTCAGGGAGATTTGGTAGTGCTGTTGGGTTGAGGGTGGGTTTAAAATAGTCAGTTTGATGAGAACCAAAGGGGTAGCCCAAATTGGAACAAGTGTTGTTGATAACAGGAAATTGGCTGCTAGGGAGGCCACAAGACTGGAGAGCAAAATTTGATCATAGAGTGCATTTTGAAAGTAGAATGGTGTCAAAAAGGCAAAGTTTAAGGGCTCTCTACCTGAATGAAACAGCACATGTAACAAGCTGTATAATTTAAAGGCATAAATAAGAGTATATGATATATGGGTATGATTTAATTGCCATTACAGAAACATGGCTTCATGGTGACCAGGTGCTGAATGGCCTACTCTTGCTTCTCTTTCTTATGTTCTTCTATTCACTCACCGCCTGTAAAAGCTGCTGCTTATGTCTCCTTACTGTTTTTGCTAGATATCTTAAATCTGTGCCCTTTCATTCTTAGTGCTTTTATTAATGAGAACAGTTTCCTATCTACTTTATCCAGATCCTTCATGATTTTGAATACCTCTGTCACATGTCCTCTCACCTTTCTTCTAAGGAGAACAGTCTCAGGTTCTTCAATCTTTCAAGCTAATTGAAGTTCTTTATTCTTGGGATCAGTTTTTAAAATCTGTTCTGCCCTGTCCATAATCCCTGCACATCTTTCCTAAAGTTTGGCACTCAAAGTTGGAATCAGTACAACAGTTGAGAGTGAATCAGTGTTTTATACAAGTTTTGCATGACTTGCTACTAATAAATTCTATTAATTGCAGCTTTATAATTGCTTTTTCAACTTGTCCTGCACCTTAAATGATTTATCCAGAGTTTAGGCTAATGTCCTGGGGGGGGTCAGAGGTTCGAATCCCACCATTGTAGTTGGTGAAATTTGAATCCGATAAAATAACCATGTAGCCACTATTGATGTTAAAAATCCATGTGTTTTACTTGTCTCCTTTTCAAGGAAGGGCATCTGTCATTCTTACCTGGTTTGCCCTCCAAATCCACAGGAATGTGATTGACTGATTTTTAACTGCCCTCTGAATAATTAGGAGTGTGTAATAATAACTCCTGCAACAAAGCCCATAAATCATGACTCTGATTTTTTTTTTTAAAAAGTCTATCTTTACCATAAAGATCTGCACAGCATTGTCTTCTTTGGTAAAGACAAAAGTAAAGTATCCATTTGATATGTTAACCATGTCTCTTGCCCTATGTGCTAAAATCCCTATTTTGGCTATCTTCCTTTTCCCACTCTTTTACTAATACTGTTTATATACCTCATTTCATACTCTGTTACTGTTTTGTTTTTTTCCCATTTCCTCTCTGAATCTTCTGTATTCATCCGGGTTCTTTGTTATTTCATCCATCTGATGTTTGTCATAAGAATATTTTTCTTTTTAATTGCTATCTCTTTTTGATTATGCTTGGGGACTTTAGATTTGTTTTCCCTGTCTTACCACTTATAATCACTATAATAATTCCACATAACAATCTGTGCGAGTAACTCCCCTATTTGCTACATCCCATGCATTCATAAACAGGCAGTTACTATAATGTAATTTGCATTTTTTCTGTACTCTGAACCCACCTTATAAATTACTATTTCTTCTTAGTCTGCTGCTGCCTAATGTGGAACTCTTCCCTTCTCTCATACTGCCTAATATTCTATAATTGTGCAGCATATTCCACCTTTACTGCTGTTGCTGGTATCTTCATGTTATATGAATTTAGTTGAGTATTCCTCATCACCCATTGATCCCCTTCCTTCAGACATACAAGAATCAGTATGTGCCTTTTAGGCATGAAGCAGGAGGGGAGGGCTTTGGGTTCCTTGGGAATTGAGGCCAGCTCTGAGGCAGTGAATACCTATTCAAAAGGTAAGAGCTACATCTCATTTCCTCCCTAACTTGTGAAGACCTGACTATAGGGCCTTGATGCCTGCTTTTTTGTTTCATTGGTGCCAATGTGTACATTAACTTTAGGCATACACTTCCCCCTGCGGAATATCCTGTGCTGTCTGTATTTTTTCCTTATCAAGGTGGGGCAACATGCTGCACTCTGATTACAGATATACCTATTTGTCCACCTGAATCTGGAATCTGCTACAACAACTACAATTGTCCACTTTGCTGTAACCACCTAAGCTATCAACTTGGCCATTGGTGCCTGTGTACTTGATTGCAACTTTTCATGGTATCATTAGTTTCAGCAGTCTCCAGTTATTGACTCTGTTGGTGAGTTATCCATGTCTTGAAGACTCCTTTACTTACTGCCTCTACAGCCTGGAAATCACCGGGCTTAAGCGGAAGCAGTTGGAGAGACACATCTTAAGTGTGGTCATCTGAGACATATGAAATGTCCAGAAGTTTCCACATGATGCAGGAATTGCAAGCAACAA